TTGTCATTATCGTGCCAACTGAACGAAGCAACAATAGACATCCCACTGAATCAAACAACGTGAGCAAAATGGAGATTATAGCGTTATGCAACTATATGATTGTGCTATTTGAATAATGGAGATTTCGGGTAGAGAAATCAAAACATCCACGGAAATTTCCAATTTGCAAGAAAACAAATTAAAAGGAAAATGTGAAAAATGGAACTACAGGGTTATTTGGAAGGGGGAAGGAGGAAAAAGAAGACTGCAAGAAATGAGAGAGAATGGATTTTGGCATGTGGGTGTAGTAGAGGTTAGGGTTTACCCTCTATCGTGTCTGGATCTTCACCTCACTTACAGGCCACGAACACAGAGAAAGGGCTTTTCGGAAGTTGAAGAAGAGTGTGAGAAGCGAGAGTGAAGTTGGGGAAGAGAGAGAAGGGATGGCGCATTCTTATACACGAAAAAATCCCGGAAAGGGCCCGACGATGGAAGGAGACGATAGCGAGAGAGATGGAAGGAGACGGTAATGAGAGACATGAAATATTAACATCGAATACGAGCATAATTGGATTCGTATAGCCGCCCCTACTCAAGATATCACTTAACTGCATGCGGGTGTTTCCTCTCCTCATCAAATTGTACTGAACTAATGAGTTAAACATGATCCCATAGCATGGAAGCCGTGATGGGGCTAGTTTCAATACGGCGTTTTGGGTTAATAAAAGATCTCTCGTTACATGTCATTAGCAAATGTGAATGTTTACTAATACCAACATCTTAACCAAAAAAGGGTAAGAAATAGAGACATGGAATGCTTTTATGTGTATTTGCTAAATAAGCTAGGAAACAACATAAGGCCCCAAAATTACAACGGATTTGATCTTCACCATCGCCAGTGGGAAGAGAAAACTTAAAGAGAAGAACCAAGCAGTATTAGCAAGCGAATCACCAAATTTCTTTCATGACTTCAATGCTCACGTTTTCCATAAGATTTCTATCGTCTCATTGATGAGGATGTTGCCTAAATTGCACCCGTTGATGTCCTAAAGATTTAGTGCTCCCTTAATGCCGATAAGGACAAATGGCCAATACTTATTAAATGCGTCGAACCAACTCGAGTGTCTCGTTGAATTCTCCCATGGGTCCACTAGGAATATTATGTTCTTGAATCTTACCGATTTTCAAAAGAGAATATACATACCGGTCCCCGCAAAAATTATCGTCCACGTCCAATCTATTCGTGACACATCGAAAGGAGTCATGGAGTCACGTCGTTCCCTCGAACTTCCCTCACCGGCTGAAATCGACTCTATGGCAAATCTGGGCCTAATGATTCAAGATAGGACTTAAGAGAGGAGATGTGTATCCATCAACCACACATTGCTCATGTGTGGCAAAGAGAATAGCTTCACAAAAAGCGGGGTGATATGAGACGAAGATTGCGAAACTGCTTTTGAAGGGAGAGGACAAAGTTTTCTAGTCTTTTAATGGAAGTCGCCGAATGAAGAGTGAGTTTTGTGATTCTTTGAGAAGCTCCACTCATTGGGGGTGGGACGAACGATCCACACAATTCGAGCCACATGCATCATGGTGTGTGGACACCGATTTCCTCGTAGTCCAATCCATCATCGAGCAAAAAGAATGCTGGGATTCTTTCGTGATGGTTCCTGTGGCTCTGCCTTTGATTAATGTCCTCCACTGCTTTTTACATGGTACGTAAAGATGGCACAGATGGTCTATCGATTCCACTCGTTTAACTCAAATTTTAATTGATTGGGTTACATATATATGAGTTACTTAAGGTTTTGTTAACTTGTCATGATAGGTTTACAAAATCAAAGTCCAACCATGTGTGGGTCTTTGTGAGCTTCGACCTTTTCAACCAATACTACTTATTAGATGAATTAAGCCTGAAAAGAGCTTATGTTTGAAAACAAAAAAGACGGAAAAAGGATACGAGAAGTTTCAAATCTTTCGTATGGCACTCATTTCAGTACCATAACTTTTCGAGCAAACACTTAAGTGCCATATCGGTAATAGAACGATCATTAAGTGGCTCCGGTGGCATTGTCCAATGATTTGTGACTTTCATAAAAAATTTGAAACCCAAGTAACTTTTTTTTAAGGGTAATTCGAGTGCAAAGTGGAAGATGAAGGAGATGGACGTGGCTAATGCGACTAAAAGACGTTTCATCTCTCTCCTTTCTTTTTTCCCTCTCCGTGTGACCGTGAAGATCATGGAAAAGACAGAAGTCCAAACCGGCAAACGCCGCAATCAAGAATAGAACAACAAAATAAGGCTTCCATCTTATCACCAAGTTCTTCGAGGATCTCGTATTGAAATACATTTATGATTTGTTTCACCATGCCCGACAATTTATAAACAGGAGAAAATTGAAGAAACAAAATCTCAATCCGTGAAATCGCCAGAAAATTGAAGAAACAACACTTCATGTCAAAAGACGATACCGACAACATAGCCGAGGAGATCTCGTGCCAGAACTTCGACGATGACAGCAAATTGCTCGGCAACCTTCTCAACGATGTGCTGTAAAGAGAAGTTGGGGGCAAGTTCATCGAAAAAATCGAGAAGAATCGAATTCGGGTTATTCTGGAAAAAAAAATCGACGACTTAGCCTGTCCGATTTGTTACGCCTTACACGATCATTTCAAATTCAGAAGGTAATTTTGCCCCAATTTGAGGAATTGGGATAAGGTTTTTTTGAAGAAAACAAGCAATTTCGCCCCAGTTCGCAAGTTGGGCCAGAGAGATGACCGATTGACGCCGTTTAGGTCCAATCATGTTGACTTCACTTTCCCGGCGAGCTACGTTGGAAGGTTTGTGTTGAAATGTTGACACGTCGGATCTTCCGCTCACACAAATTGTCCATGGCACTAAAATGATCATTTATTTTTTATCAATATAACATTCAAGTGATCATTTGAAAATTTTTTAAACTAAAGTGAAGATTACAACACTTGTGTTAAAAAAGATAGAGAGAGAGGCTTGAATAGAGAGAAACGACGGAGCTTAGGCATTTCTCCGCTGATTCTCTCTTAATATAGCTCTCGATCACATCTTTTTTTATTTGGTTTTTTTTTTCTTTCTCTTGCCGTTTCTTAGCAGCAAATCTCTTTGACTTTTGCTCTACCTCTTGTAGACCACAAATGTCGAACTTTGCATCCGTGATACTAGCGTTCTTACCTCCCAATCCCTTTACCTGCGGGGCTGCATGCCTGTTGGCAAGGATTTTTTAAGTTCGCGTCTTGGGAAAAACACCATTTGGAGAGTCAAAGACACGGGTTGACCGATATTGTGTTTGGCCTTTTTTCTTTTTTTTTCGTTGCTAAAAGTGTTTGGCCCTTTTTGATCACATAGGTATGTACTTTCACTTCTCATTGGTCCAGTTTACTTCTCAGGGATTAATAATTTTCTCTTCCTGATAGCTTCAGCCGACCATGAGATGGATTTGAAGACCTTGTATATATTTTCATCTATTGACACGACTAGATGAATCTAACTAATTATGATGTGAAAAGTTATACCTTTGCATCAATCATATCCAAATCCAATTGTTTTACCCTTAATCACAAAATGAGGCATTCTTAAATCATATTAGATATTATTTGGATCAATTATGACGTATAAGTGAGGTGTCGTATATGTAAATATTACACAAATGGTTACAACTTTGTGTTATTACTCGGAGCACTTCTTTTGATGACTTGATCCATGTGAAACAGACTGGGTCGTTACGGATGATATCAAGTAGGACCCCCTCTATTAGGTATGTAGTTCGTGGACGGAGTAGATCCGTATCCGATCCAACGAGAGCGGGGAGAGATCGCCGGGGCGAGAGGATTCGAACAAGATGCGGCTCTTGATAGGCTTTCAGAATGGCGAAGGGGGTGGGAACGAACCAGACCATAAAATGAATAGGGCGAGTATCATCGGATGATATGGGTCAACTGATGAGGAGGTCGGTTATTTGATTGGGGGAGTTTGTGACATCTCAAGTCCCATATCAACTAGGAGAGACCATGTCGAGTGATTTATAAGTCTAACACCCACCCCTACATGGCCATCCTCTTATGTGGTCACTCACAGTGCTCCTTTTGGGAGCTTGACCCAGATGAAACAAGTCGTTTTGTTACAATCTCAGGCCAAGGACCAGCGACCAGGTGGTGACGGGCCGAGGAAGATGGAGAAATAGGATTAGCTTTTAAGGATTTTCTTGGGTTTTCAGTGGGCTGAGGATAGCAAAGCGGGGTAATCTCAAGATGCAAATCGGACATCATGAAAAGTGAGGATGCAAATTGCTTTGTTCGTAAAACAACATGCTCCACTCCATTGTCCTTTTTTGAACATAAATTCAGTTGGAAAAATCCGAAAAGCTGACTACTTCAACGAATGCCAAGTGCGAGTTGAACTTTTGCAAAGCCAAAGGCTTGACCCGGCGGCTTCGACTCTTCAATCTTGACTTTTCTATAGAAGACGATCGTCGCATTATTACTTTAAAAAAAAATAAGGTTTACAATTCTTTTCTGTTTATTGGAATTGCGTATAAGCTACGTTACGATTTCATTCTATTTAGGTCATCGATCTAATCTGAATTCGCACGCCCGTTCTTCATGCTCTACAAATGAATTCACACCGAATCTTGTTTACTTGTACCCATGTCATTCTGTCCTTGAATTCTGCATTATCGGTAGGTTTTCGATGTTCATCAAAAGTGCTAAATTTTATAGAGTACATGTTATAGTAACGTCTCGAATTGGTTTCATTTAAAAGAAATTGAAACCATCCTTTTCTAGCAACCTCCCCAGCACACTCATTGTATATCATAATAGTTCTAATTTATTAGCTTTCTGAGTTATTGAGAGTAGGAAGCATTTTTCGAGCATGTTAATCAACATCTTTTCACTTCCCCATATAAACACCAACATAAAGAAAAAAAAAAATTCTGTCGATCTTCAACAAACCGAGCGAGGTGTGAATGCCAGAATCAGTGTGCAGCTTCACAAGAATCTAAAAAATATTCACATAACTTTGAAAAACCGGTCTGATTGTGAATATCAGAACAGCAGCTTCACAAGACTCTGAAACGTATATATCTACAAAAACACATCATATGTATATATGATAAACCAGGAAGAAAAAGCAAGCAAAACTTTGAATATAATTGGCCTAACCAACTATGGATGCCAAACTCAATTCCCAGACCTCAAAGAAGGAGCGATCTTCAGGACAAGCCCCGGGAAAACATCGTCTGGGTCGTGCATGTGAGGGTTGCGCTCGACGATGAAAGGGTCGCCGCACTTGGTGCCGATGGTGTGCAGCGTCTCACCCTCGCCCACCACGTATATCTCGTCGCACGGCCGCTCCAGGATCTGAGCGCCCCTGACGTCGGTGTAGGTGTCACCGCCGCCGTTCGCGAGGGTCTGGGCCTTTCGCGAGCTGCTCAACAGCACGAGGGCTGCGAAGACGAGGGCGCAGTACAGCGAAGCCGCATGAGAAGAGGATACCATTGATGCTTTCTACCGCTGGAGGTTTGGAAGGGAGCTATGAAGAAGCCAAGAGGGAGGGAGAGAGAGAGAGAGAGAGAGAGAGAGAGAGAGAGAGAGAGAGAAAGACGGTGGTGGTGGTGGTGGTGGTGGGAGAGAATACAAGTATAAGAAAGGAAGGGTGATGATCGTGGGCACGGGCGAGGTGGGAAGGGTCAGTTCTGGCGGTTTTTTGGGGAACGAAATGAAGCACGATTTGGTGTGACGTGAGCCACCTTCTCTTCGAGTCGTGAGACCTTTCCCTTTGATCCACTTGAAAACGACTCTTCTTTTTCCTCTTTGATTATGTGTGTCCATAGTTGTCAGAAAAAATAGTTTGTATTATGAATGATGTGCTCGTTAGAATCGATTATGTAAAGGGCATGAACTATGTATAGAAAGGTCAGGTCGGACCTTTTAATGGACTTTGCGCTAAAATACCGACAAGTGTCGCTCATATGATATAGGAAAAAGATTTCTTAATGACAAATTATTGTGTAGGCTAATCGGACATTAAGAAATAGGGAGATATGCACTGATATGCACCGTGATTAGCTCTGTTCACTATTTCCTTCATAAAGCGAGTCCGCCTAATGCAATCGCCCAATCCGCCTCTTTTGACCCCCTCCGCCACCCACCCCACCGCCATCGACCTCCCTCTCTACGTCTATGGAGCCCTCGATAGTGAGGATGAGCTTGGGTGGTGCCATCTCCGTCCAGACTCAAATGTAATCTCAGAACGCACATTTAAGATGTAGAGAGAATAAAAATAGTGGATTTTTTTTTGTATTTTATACTAGTTTAAAGATAAGTGGATTTCTAAAGTAAGGAATACAATCTATTTCTATTATACTATAAACTTTATAATATTACTTTTATTAACACTGGTTATAAATAATGTTAATTTAAACAAATCATTTTTTATGATAATGTTCATGTTATATATTATGAAATTTCATGGTCATACCATCCATATGATCGTCAATAATATGTTTATTGATTTATGAAATTTTATATCATCATATATTATATTCCAATAAGTAATCAACAATATGTTAATTATATTTTGAAAGACACTGTAATTGATACTCTCCAAAATTATATTCATAATTTGTTTCATTATAGTCATATTCATATATTTAGATAAAAATTATGTGCTTTTGTTAATTAATCATAATTACGCCACAACAAGTAATTTTTCTATAAGTAGTAGCCTATTACCAGTCGTGAATGATTATGAATTACATTACACAAGATGGATCAAAAACTTATAGAGCACGGCATGCTTGTTTCAAAATGGTCAATCTCAAGAATCGCAAAACCATGTTACAAGCTCATTGCAAGATGACGAAACTCTGGAGAGATGTGCATAAATGTTTGACGGGTTGAGGTGAATTGAACTCGTGCATCAAAATACACACAAACAAAATAGAAATTGGCTCCCCGACATGATTATGGTCCGCGACTCCACGAAAAGACGGCGTACTCTTCGGGTGCCTCTACCGCTCGGGGTTCAACACTTCCCTCGACTAACTTTACTTGATTAACAAAGATGAAACGACCACCATTTGAGCAAAATTAAAAATTATTTCGGACTCGAATGTCGAGTGTAAAAATATTTAAAATGCTAAAATACATGAGTCGAATATGTTTGATATGTAACTCGTTCGTGATTCGAATATATTGTATGAACATCAAATTACCCCAAAATTACAAGGATGTTGATGCACCACCATTAAACCTGTCAAAATGGATCCTAAACTTATTTCTTAACCCGTATATCAATAAATATGTCATAAATGGGTTAATTATGTTAACTAAATGAGTTATAAATGGATATAAACATAATATAGGTGTTAATGGGTTATAAATAGATCGTAAATCGGGTCATATATGGGTTTACAACTTATATAAACTCAACTCATCGCTCTTGCCCTCACTCATTCTTGCTCTCTCTTACTCCGTACTTTTATCTCAGTTTGGGTATGAGTTTTTCTAGATTGAATTAAATATGAAAGTATTTTAACAATAGAAGTCGAGTATGGATCGATTATGGATCATCAGATTCGCATTATATGGAAATGGGTCAAAATGGGTTAAATGGATATATTTGGGTCGAACAATTTTTGACCCGATCCGATCCGACCCATCCGGTTGATAGGTCTAATGACCATTAGGGTTAATTTAGGATCATTTGGGGGACAATTATCCCAAATTACTTGAAAAAAGTATTTAGTTAGTAAACAGCTGAAGGCCAAATTCCCTAAAAAACCCCCAACTTTAGTCTTTGTCTCAATTATATCCCAAACTTTTTTTTGTCTCATAAAAAACCCCAAACTTTTACTTTTGTCCCAAATCTACCCCGTTTACTATTCGTCTAATTTTTTAATATTATTTTTTATTTTTTCGAATTTTTCTTTTCTTTTCTTTTTCCTTTCCTTTTCTTTTTTTTTTTTTATCACCTTCAACCTCGGCCGGTCGCCGGCCCGCATGGCCAGGCAGGCAGCCGCAGGTCAGCCCACGGCAGTAGCGAGGTCGGCCTCGCCTTTCTTGGCGGGCCGAGCCTCGCCATGCGGCGAGGTCGGCCCACCGCACCGGGCGAGGTCGGCCTCGCGGGTTCTTTGGCGAGCGGCGAGCCTCGCCCGAAGAACGGCGAGGTTCACCTCGGCCGACCTCGCCGTTCTTCGGGCGAGGCCGACCTCGCCAGGGCCGGCGGGGCCAAGCCTCGCCAGTGCCGACGGGCCAAGCCTCGACAGATCCGGCGAGGCTCGGCCCGCCAACTACCGGGCGAGGTCGGCCGAGGCCGAACCTCGCAACGACGAGGCCGACCTCGCCAGTGCCGCGGGCCGACCTCGCGGCCCGGCGAGCTCCTCGCTCAAGCGAGGCTCGCGCCCGCCGGGCCCAGCCGCCGGCAGCTCGCTCGCCGAAGTCAGGCCGACTCGCCCGCGCTGGCTACCTCCGGCCGTGAGCGGCCTCGCCGACGCGAGCCGACTCGTCGGCGCAGTGTCCGCCGGCCGCCTGCCCCGGCGGGCTCCGCCGAACGACGAGGCCGACGCCGCCGCGGGGCCGAGCTCCCGCGCCTGGGCCGACCTCGCGCCCGCTCGCCGCGGACCGGAGGTTGAAGGTGATAAAAAAAAAGGAAGGAAAAAGAAAGAAAAGAAAAAATTCGAAAAATAATATTAAAAATTAGATGAAAAAAGCGTAGATGAAAAAGAAGTTGGATTTTTATGAGATAAAAGTTTGGATATAATGTAAATGGGTTTAAGATGCCAACAGCTGAAACTCGCTTTGTTTTCTCATAGGTTGGCAGGCTGTCAACTGGGAACGGTTCTCAGCTTGCAGAAACTCCCTAATAACCATCGGACCATCGTTACGCCGGTGCCGACAGTTTCGCCCCCCCCCCCCCCTAAGAATCCTGTCGTTCCTCGGCACCCCCTACACCCCCCCGGTCTGAACCGCCGTCTGGCGGTCGTGCCCATCTCTCTCTCTCTCTCTGCCGTTGTCGCCGTAGGGCAAGTTCTTGTGCGGAGCTACGCACTCGGAAGGACGCTGCATAAAAAGGTCCAGGCTTTTCATACAAGAACCCCAGGTAGGTAATAACCCATTCCTCAACAGTTGACACAGCGACGCTCTTCATTGCCCTCGCCTCCGAATTCGTCGCTTTCGTTGAAGTAACGGGTCTTGAATCTTTGGATTTCTTGAGCGCTATTGTGTTTGTTCAATCCCTCTTGATGTCTTGATGCCCCCCGTCTAGGCTCAATTTCCTCTTTGTTTCGGTCCCTCTTTTTCTTCCTTCTCTTGCGCCCCTTTTTTTTTTTTTTTGGGTTATTTTAGTTCGGGCTTGCGGTTAGCTGCGTGATGCTTGAATTTTATTTGAGACTGAATTGATTGATTTTATGTTGGTACAATTTGTGCAGCGAAAATGGTGTCTGAGCTAATCAATGCCAATCCCGTGGTGTACGAGAAGAAAGAGCGACGGGTTCGCAGCGCGCCGTCACGTGCCGATGAATACGCCGTCGAAGCCATCGATCAGCTAGAGATTTTCGATATCCTTTTCTTCGTTGTTGCTTCTTATCTGATGTGATTCGATGCAATTTGATTTGGTTATGATTCCTTGCTTTTAAGGTCAGTTGTTATTTTAGCTGTTTTATGCTTATGCATAATCTTAGTTTCAAGTATGGGAATGATTGGTAAGTTCTTTATGCTATGTAGGCAGTTAATCCATTCAAACACTTTTCAAATGAGATACAGGAAGTTTAATTTATGTGAGTAAAGTAAAAGGTTACGATTTTAAGTCTACTGTGCAGAAGTGAGCATGCATTGCCAGCTTTTGTTTCCACCTTGGGGTAGATTCCACCGGCTTTAGATTCTAATTTTCAAGAGATGTTGATGTAGACACCTAGAACTTGATGTAAGTTTATGCACAGTGTGGATCAATAGTTGGCCATATTGCTCTATGGTACTCGAACTGGTGTTCCTCTCGAAAGGTCGTCCGCTGTTGTCATATTTTGATGAGGTCAGTACCTATGGAATGGATGTCCATGTAAAAAGGAGATAACGGTGTTTATTTTTTAAATTTGCTGATAAGTTGTGCTTTTGATGATCGGTTGATTTTAATGGGGTAACTTCTTTATGAAATTCTAGAAAGGTCGAGACATCTTTCATTAGTATAGTACTTTATTTCCAGTTTTGTGATCTTAGTATGTCAGAGAAGAAAATGCTCAGCCAGACTAACCGATGCTATTGGAGAGTCTCAGGAGTTAGTGCCTAAAAGCCCATAAGTTGATAGTAAGATTGATATTTTCTGCATTTCAAACTTATGATCTTACTGTTTGATGCTGAGAACTCTTGAATGTATTTTTGGAGAGTTCACACTGCGCACAAGGAAAAAGAATTAGATGTTCTTTACTCATGTGGAGAGCTTTTGGAAGTTAAATTTGAGGTTGTCCGTGCCCGATCAGTCGAGAATATGTTGAAATTCTTAATGGTCATACATCATCTCAGAGATATAAAGGACCCAGAACACCCATACTCTTTGGAAGAGCTGAAGGTAATCACTGAAGATGCAATCGAGGTAGATGATTCAAATAGTTATGTCAGGTAAGTTGTCTTTTTGTATCCCCGTTGCATATTCTCCATTGGAATTGCAGTCTTAACCAGATACTTTTCTTTAGGGTCACATTTACTCCCACAGTCGAACATTGCAGTATGGCAACAATAATTGGTTTATGCCTAAGAGTGAAACTTATGAGGAGCTTGCCATCTCGATACAAGGTTTGACATTCGTTCCTCGGTTGCATTGTGCTTTTATATGATTATAGATGATTACTTGGGTTGATGCCCAATTGCATATGTAAAGCCTCCAACGATTATGGGATAATAGTTTGATTTGGTTGTAGTGTTAAATTTCTTATTTAGCGTGATGAGGAATTGTCCATAGCTTGTTTAAAGTGTTTTGGGTTGATATTTTGGTACTATCAAGGTGGTTTCTATTTAGTCTGGTTCCTTCTATCCCGTTCCTTAGGTAGTGAAAGAGGTTGCATACATCTGTTAATAATTATTTCCAAAATAGTTCAAGGTCTGGAAATTGCAGATTGCAGTTAATCTTGTCGAAATGAACAAATCTAAGTTGTGAGCATAGATGGATAATAAGGAGAGCCAAATCTGACTGTAGGGCAAACACATGCTTTCGTGGCTTCTCAGCACTGCTATGTACATGGCTTCGATAGTTGTTGATCTATTACTGTGTATGTTCTCACGGACAAGGTCGTCCGTATATTATGCCTCCTTTTTGCTTTGTCGGCAGAATGCAGAATTTGGTCTGCAGTTTTTACAATAATTTTCTAATGCCCTGAGTATCCACAGGAAGTTTTGTGGATCTTATACTGGCTGGCAGACCTTAATTATGTAGGAAGTTAGTTACATTGGCTGCTATGAATTGTAAATAAAGAGGTCCATGCAGTGATATATATTGTTATTGCTTCTGTTTATGTTAAATTTCTGCTAGTTGTTGCTTGAGAAGACATCTGGTCAGTTCCCACATTCCTGTTAATGAGCTACGTTGGCATCCATACGTTGCCCCTCCTTACTCAACTTGCAGACACATTTTATCTTTAAGTGAATTAATTATTGATTATATATACGATGGAGTGCAGTGCACTTTTTTACCAAGTTTTGTGTTAGCACATCGTCCACATGTTCTCTTGCTACATATCTGTATTTTAGAGATCAGCGAAGATTTTATTTTCTCAGGTGGATATTAGGATCGCGCCTGGTAGTCATGCAACTGAAGCTGCAGGTCTCTCTCTCTCTCTCTCTCTCTCTCCTGCTCAATGGTTGCAATACTACAATGGTTGATACTAGTTCTCTGGAAAACTGATGTCGCAAGTAACGGCCTCTATGTCATTACGTCTTTCTTACGAAATCTGTTGGGCATAGTAAGAAGTCAGCGGACAAAGCTTTTGAAAAGGCACTGTACTCATCTTTCGAAATGATTTGATCAAAATGTCGTGTGTCCTTTCACTTTGTGTGATTTTATCTTGGTCATTGACAACGTTCATGATGTGGATTCTATATTGTACAACATTGCAGTAAATAAGCAACTAAATGACAAAGAACGGGTTGCTGCTGCGCTGGAGAACCCTAACCTTGTGGACATGGTCGATGAGTGTCTGGCTCCTACTAATGGCTTAGCTGGATGAAAGTGATTTCTGCTTGGTAAGCAAGGTCTGCCTGGCTAGGATGTATAGGTTATTGCCCTGTTCGATCATGCGCTTGCCATTTTCTTTCATGGAGTGGCATTGGCAGGTAGATTTAGTAAAAGGGCCATAAAATATGTTAATTTATGTTTTCTGTAACATGTAAGCTTCAGTTGCTCGGAAATATTTGGAGCTTTGAATATGTACTATTTAGCAGCCAAATTTTGGTATAGATTGTGGTAATCTGATCTTAAAGCATATTCATGTGGGGAAGTTGCAAAGGTTTATCCTGCAATCCTTGTTCGGTAAGTTCCCATTGGGCTTGGGATTTTGCAGCATCTCTCGCTAGCAAACCGAGAGATTTACTGTTACTGGTAAACAAGTAAAGGAGCCAAATAACCAATATAATTTCATTTGGTGTCCCTATTTTAGGAATTTAGGTTTAGATGAGCATGGTAAGACCTAGTGCTAAAAAGAAACTGGCGCGTTAGTTATGCTTTCTTCGGCATTGAACGTTGGTGTTTGATAAGGACCGTAAATTCAAGGTTCTCGATAGTAAGGGCGCGAATGTGTTTCCCTGTTTTTCTCTTCTTCTTTTTCCCGAGAACAGATTTGAAACAGAAATTCGTTTAGTAAAATAATTTTATTTTTTTATTTCTAGGATAAATTTTGGTCCATAAATAGATTTGGTACAGAAATGAGAAGTTAAAATTTTCTACTTTTTCTATTTCTGGAACAGAAACAGAAATAACAATTCTCTTTTATTGCTCATCCTTGCCGCTCACTAGCCGCTCACCGGCCGTCCGCCTCCGCCGCTCACCGGCAGATGGGAACAGAAATTTTGTGTCGTTATTAAATACTACTTTGTGCTCATAAACTCATCCAAAAAAGAGAAATAAATTTTTCTAAGAGAAATATTGTCATTCGCGTCCTAAAATGTGAGGCACACAGCTTAGACTGACCTACGGCTTGAAAGGCAGTGGTCCGAAGAATATTATTAATCGTATTCCAGCATATGGTTTCTTTTGTTGCTGAATGAATGCAACAGAGAATGGACAAGGTCTTGTCTGTTCAAGAAACTAAGAATCTGACCTTGAACATCAAGGCAGATGGCTGCAGAGGTTACACAGTGTACGAGAAATTACTGAGGCCCCTCGGAGTGATCTGTTTTGGCACTCATGGTTTTATAGAAGGAGACAACCATGAAGTTTGTAACTTTGCTCGTATAGGAGAACCACCCGTTTACTTATTTACACTAGTTTAAGATTACGTTTAGTTGTCTAGATTTTTAATCAGGATAAAAGTTGGTAGAATAGAATATGGAATCCATGAATTTCGCTTTATCCTATTTACTGTTTTATGAATATAGTAAAAAAGTCGGATATTTTTATACCTTATCATGTCCATTACGACATATCAGTGTATTATATATGAACTTAAAAATGCATATGGAGATGGTAAAAATCTCTCACAGTTGACTGTCAAAGAAACCGCAAATACATACACCGTGATAATTTCCATCAATTAAGCCATAATTATTATACGATCTAAATTTTAATCAGCAAAGAAGCTCATTGCAATATTCTAGAGTCATAGATTCAATTATGACAAGAAATGTAAACGGGTTACGGTAACATTGACAAAATAGATCAAATAGCGAATACCAAATCTAGTAAGAGGAAGAAAACATGATCACTCACTTTCGCGATTCCGAAAAATAAATTGCTTCAACTCTCTTGCCACTTTCGCAAAATTTCTGCATGAACCACGGAAGGAGAAAGAGCTTCACCCCTCTTGCCTTTTTGTGGAGTTTTAACATGAACCAAATTGTTACAAAGACTGATTTTAAAAAATTGATCAGCGAAAATGATCTAACAAACTCTAGCTGAATACTCAACAAATGAGCAATATTCAAGTTATCGACTAGAGTCACATTTCTTTGTCAGTTTCATATTCTCAGCATTGCTCTTTTCTCAAATATCCACATGAGGCTTGTATGGTTTTCTGCATTGGGCACTTTGTAGTTGGTAGTACCATTCAATGCATTAGTACACAGGTAAAGCACGCCCACAAGGCAGCTACGAACAGACCGTGCATTCATCTAAAATATATTCATTCCGGAAGTCACAAAGCTACAAAAATTCTCCCACAACATTCGTTGATCCACGTGATGGTGGATAAAAAAGGACAAAACCGAGGCAAAAGAAATCAGTAAATGGTTCCAATGACCATACCCGAAGGCAAAGCCGAGTCACCACAGAGTTAAGACATTCCCAATCCTCAAGACTGGTCTTAGACGCGAGGAAGTACGAGGAATTGCTGATTCCGGAGAAGAATTAGGCGTAAAACAATGAAGCACCAAGGAAGCAAACTGAAATTGCATAACTGCCTGACCCCGAGCCTCGCTAGAAGTCGCTCCTTTTTCTCTCTTCTTTCAGTTCAAATCGGAAGATCGTTGCAAAATGGACGACAGGAACTGGGTAAGAATTATGCAGCGACAAGATCTGGAGTTTCTGCTTCAACAGATAACAAAGCCGTGTGTACTTTGCCCAGCCAATTGTCCAGTCGGTCCCGCAGTGATTTGACCTGTGGAATCCCCAAAACTCTTGGCTGCACCCATGAAACGTATACTGTCCCCTCAACTTGATCGATTACGCCCTCAATAAGATGAACCTGAGTTGAGATTCTAATGGTTAGACAACTGTAGAATAAGGTTAATGCTTCGATATCAGTTTTCCAGTACATATGCTAGAGCAGAAAAGGTGCAAGCAATTATAAAATCCAAGTATTTGCCACAATGGCGTATGCAGAAAAGGATAATGTTACTCTAAATTTTCAGAAACAAACACTGATGCATATCGGAAGCTCTTTTATCCTTATACCCGAATTAGTGGCGTTCAGTTCACAAGCAAGTATGACTCAAAGCAAGAATCTTCTACCCCTCAGTTATAAAAGTTAGCATCAATGGTGAAAGAATAGAAAGGAATGCTGATTTACATCAGCAACCACTTAATGGACAAAACTATTTATGGATAGTTAATACTAGCCAAGTCTATTAACAGGGCGCATTTTCAAAGCTGTCACTTTAGGCACAGTCAGTGCAACCAACCAACCAACAAACTCCTAGTCCCTACAACCATATGCAGCAGACCTAATATAACCAATGGAAAATCTAACAGCCCACAAAACAAAAACATGTACCTGGATCTCAACTAAGTCTGTATTATGAACCAACAACTGAAGCTTTGTTTGCTTCATTTACAGTCATTGGGAGCTCCTCACAGGTAATGAAGTCATGGTGGATACTCATTAAAGTGAAAAATAATGCAAACCTTAAAAATAAACTTACAGACAAACTCTTTATGAGAAGATGCTCAACATCCTGTGTAGAAAGTTTTGTGCGCTCTGCAATAACACTCAATGGAATGGTTCGATCCTCAGATGGTCGACTGCAAAAATTCACATCGCCGTTCTCCATCAGCATTAGGATAACAAAGATCCCATGCATCTGATCATACCCAAAGCAATGAATGAAGATAATCATACCTGAAGATGATTTCCATAAGGCAGAGAATGTTGATCTTTTCCAATAGCTTCTTCTCATTCTCAACCAAGCCTGGTTGGGCATTCAGAGCAGCACTGTGGACATGGCACAGTTCCCTATAACGGACTAAATCGCCGGTGTTAAATGCCTGGAGAATATAGTATAGCCACTCAACCTTTGTCCCTACAAGGCTCTTTATCTGCAACATTCAAGGAAAGGTGTGGATAGATCAGTACAACTCAACCTTATCAACAACACCAAGCCAATAAGAAAATAGCCCATAAATCTCATAAATCCAATAAAGAGAAGGCTCCAGGATTAAGTTTTAAGCAATCCTTATTAAAGAGAAGTATTAAAACAATGTCACTGGGGCTGTTGGAACTCATAAGTCCCACAATACACTGCCAACAATGCTTCTGGCTAAGTGATAAAGATCTGACCAAGCGGGTCTCTATATGAGCTTCAGCCCCCAGCAATGTCCTATAATAAAAGACCAGAACTATCCAACTTAGACCTCCACCAACTCCCACCAGTGAGTCAGGAACTCTTCTTTTGGATGGTCTTTTACAAGTTTTTGGGATGGATATTTCCCAAGGCAGTCAGCAAGACCATTACAATCCCATGAGATCACAATGACATTAGCTTACCATACCATTAGACAGGAGAAAACCTTAGGTGATTGCGACACCTGTCATCAGATGACAACTAGCGTAACAATCAATATAAATTTGTCAGAGAAATTTGACAACTTGCTAACTGCTATGTGGATTTCAAAGAAAATATCTTGTGAATGTTTAAGTGTGGATCCAACCCCTTTTAGAGTATCACCCTTGAAGCAAGACAAAAGCTTGATATCCAAAATATGTTGGATGGCAAGATGTAATGAGCGAATCCAGATTTAACTACAAGCCAAAAGAAAAATCATCAGATTTTCCAACCCAAAAGAAAAATCATCCAACTTTTCAATATGAAATTTGACATTCCAGTGTTCAAAAAAGTTCTACTAAGATATTATGGGATTTGACCATCAGGTTTAAAAATTTCAAAGTTATAATGATGAAGGTGTGACTTGAAAGTAGCTTATCTGCAGTAAACCCTACCTTCAACCAATGTTTTCAAAACTGTAGCATAGATTAAACTAGATCCAAACTCAATTAGTGACTTAACCAGTTAACTAGGCGCAGTAAAAATCTCATCAAGATAAAACAAATTCCTTACAAAAGTAATACACTAGACTCAAAATTTGCCCATCAGAGACGGCAGGGAAGCACTGCATGATGTTAAAGGTTGTGCATTCTGGTTAACTGCACTGCAATTCAACGTTTTATTCAAATGGGACAAAAATATATGTTGACTATAATTATCTGCCTGCCACCTTTAAGGTTTAGATGTACACAGCTCAGATGAGCTTGTGTCCAAGCCTTCACAGAGCAGGGCCTCAAATCCCTCTCCTGACATTCATGCCCCTAATTTCCAGAAAGACCAATTCTAGGTAAAACCAGAATTGCTCCGACTCAACGTTTTGAACAGAGTCAACTCGGGGTTTAACCAACCAAGGCATGACCAATACCTAGTTTGAACCAAATGAAGAAGCCGGCCAGCCCACTCTGGTTCTTGAAAACATTGCCTTCAACAGCAACTTATTTTATCAACTGCAGATGGTGTTCTAGATAATTGTAACTGGGTACTGAGGCCAATTATTAGTAAAAACTTCGAAGATGGTTTCCTA